AGTCAAACGCCTTTGCATGTGGTATTAGTGATATTGTTCGATAATTTCCACACTCCGTTGGGTCACCCACCTTTCTTTGGAATGGGAACAAATACTGATCTCTTCCAGTCAGTCGGCCAGCTGGCTGTCCTCCAGATTTCTTGAAACAACTCAGTGAGCACATCCAGGGTAGTGTCTATTTGTTGAAATATGTCAATTGGTATGCCGTCAACTCCTGGAGCCTCCAATGTACTCTCAACAAATATGGCAGGACTGGAGTCAAGTTCCGTATGTTCTGTACCCATTATAAAATCAAACAGCAAATTATAAAATATATCAGAGAAATAACTCACTTGTTTGGTAAATAAAAAATAGATCTCACAATAACTGAGGGGTGAAAGAACTCACAAAGGAAATGAGAAACATTTCTAAATGATAAACACACAGTGCAAGGCAGCTTGTGTGTCACAGGGAATCAGTGAGGAAAAGGGACACAGCTCTTTGTGTTCCAGACAGAGAACAGGGCCGGCAATTGAGGGCCTGCCTTTCACCCTGAGACACTAACAAACAGAAGAAATCAAAGACTGACTGCCTAGAATGAAGGAAAGAGAGATAAGCAGAGAGCAGTGACACAGAATGCGACGAGACAATAGGGACGATTAAAGGAACCAAAGCCAAGTTCTCCAAAATAATCACTAACACTGATGACTCCATATGCTAAGGGGGTGGGAAGACAGGAAGCCGACTTACACAGGGTTCCTGGGAGGAAAAGGGCAAGAGCCTACCATGATGGAATATTTTGAATTTTGTATCATTCAGTTTGACAGCTTTTACAAACTGCATTGAGTCTTAAAAGACATCACTAACAAAACCGGAAGGTCTTCAACTGTGCTCTCTTATAGAATACTTTATTAGCCCTAGATGAGTTGTCTCAGCGACCAGCTGGAAAACAGAAATGCAGCCTCTTCTTCACTCTTAAGCCCATGGCTGTCTTTTCCCCAGGAACAAAGGAAAACTGAGAAGACCAAAGGAATAACCTTCTTATTGTGTCTACGAGACTCAGACATGGACACGTCCCTCTTCACTGGAGAGGCCTCTGCCTTCTAAATGGACAGCAGGGGCTGGAGCAGATGGGCTTGACTTTATACTGAGGCTACACTGGCCCTGAATGTTGGGGTTTCCCAACTAGCTTATCATGCAACCGCATATCCATCAGCAATGATCAACTCACTAAAGGTTCCCAACTTTGGAAATGATCCAAGTAAGTAAAAAAATGGTACAAATTAAATAAGTATGAAAGAAAACCAAGTGCAAAGTCAGTGAGGAAATTCAAGTTCACCCCTGTACTGGGTTACATGGGTATAGGTAACACAGAACTCTCTCTCAGCCTCTTTCAAAAACTTCTAAATATTGGAAACATGAGATGATGAATTTCAAGTCACTATGTCAGCCAGCTCATGACTCAAGAAAGAGGTGGGGGTGAGGAGGGGATGGTGAAGGGGAAATGAGTAGGAGGAGAGGGAGAGAAGTGGGGGCGGGGATGGGAACAGGTGACCTTACCCCCAGGGCAGGCAGCCTCTGTGTACAGCTCACAGCCACTCTGAGCTTCCAGTCTGTCTCACCATCAAGCTGATCAGTTCGAATGAAGCATGAACCTTGGAAACAAAGGGGAGACTTCATCACGCTTGTGTTGTTTTATGGTTGTCCTTTCAAGACAGGACCCCACGGCACAGTGACACACCTAAGTATTCCTTCCCACTACAACACTTACACAGGAATTATACTTGCTTAATAAAATCTGCTGAAAAGACATAGGTCTTTAACGATTTCTTATAAACACTTGTTACTTCTGATTTACTTGCTTTGCCTAATGTTTTATAGGAATTATTACTTTATTTTAGAATAACAATGCTCATTTCTACTTTCATCTATATTTTTACAATGCCCAAAATACTAAGCGTAACACAAAAATACTCAAAAGGGAGGATGATATTACCTGAATAATGAAAGTTTCTTTAATAAATATGCAAATCCTTAATAGAAAAAGCACAGCTAACATGCTACAAGTCTGAGAAGTGTTACTTTGGCACCAAGGCTGCATCAAGAGCTGAAGAACAGGAACACACCGCTGCACATTCACCCAGGCCCTGACTGTGAGTCGTCCCTTTGCGGGCCTCTCCTGGCGCCTATTCACAAGCAAAGTCAAAGAGACACACGGTGCTGTTCTCGGCTTAGTTCTATACAAGTGGGGCAGAGCAGAAGAGAATAGGCCGCAGTCTAGGGCATTGGTGGGGGTTGAAAGCACAAGGAAAACCTCCACAGACACCTTGGAAAAGAGATGGGGTTAGCACGAACGGGAAACCTCCTTAAATGATTTGGAAAGACCTCTGGGAGAGCCATTGTGAAGGGAGGTCGCCGGAGTGTAGGCCCAGGTAAGGAGCAGCACCTGCAGGGCTCTGCGGAGCGCGGTAGAGTGTGGAGACATGCACGTGTGCAGGAGGCAGCGCCAACTGAGCCCGGGGAACTGTCCGTGTCTGAATGTGAGAAGCATGAAGGGGAGGAGACTGCAGTGAGTGGAGACTCTGACATGCTTGAGCATGTGTATGACTTAATGTGCATGCTTAAATACATGAAAGCACATGTAACTGAATGAGCATACAAGTGTCTGTGTTAGAGTGAATTCCATGTGTGAGTGGTGACCAAGTGTATATGTAAGTGCATGAGTGTGTATGTGCGTTTAAGAGGAGAGGAATGTAAGATGACGCCTCATTATTCTCGCTTCTAATGAGCGTTCTGGATGTATTTCTCCTAAGACAGATATTTGTCCTTGGGACAGTCCTTGTTTCTGTCACGTGTCGTCAAGCTGTAACCAACGCATAGCTGATCCACCAGCAGGTGTTCAGAGGCTGTCAATTACATGCAAGTAGACTGCCTGTCTTCTACCCACAGATCAGCTGGTTGATTCAAACCACCTGCCTTGGGCTTAGCAGCACAACCTGTAACCACTAGTCCATGAGAGCTCCTGGCAGTCCACAGTATATTTAATATCCTTTGGCAATACCATTATTTGTTGTTGTTAAGTGCTGTCAAGTCGTAGATGACTCATAGCGCCCCTATGAATGACAGACCGAGCACTGTTCACAGTTTCGAGAGGCAAGCCATTTCAGAAGTGGATGCCATTCCTACTTCCAAGCTTGTTTTAATTGGGAAGCTCCACTGAACACTGGCCACCACGGGTATTAATAACAAGGTAAATTAGCTTCAGAACTCATCTACAAAGACTGTATTTGTTGCTGCATTCAGGGGCTCTAACAAATTTGTTCAGCATATAGATTGAACAGATGTTAGGATTTTAATAAAACGGTAAATGAGCCGTATCTGAAGTCGTATCAGAAGGTTCTATGCAACAGTGAATGAATGAAAACCCAAAATCTCTGTAAATGTTCCCTAAAACTAATAAAATTTAATAATAATTAAAAAAAATTAAAAAACCCCAGATTTACAATTTTGTTTTAATTTGCATAAAATGAATATTTTAGATTGATTTATTTGGTTATTCTCTGAAGTATGTATACATAAGCTTTATTATGCATGCAAAGAGAAAATATTTCAAATCTAATAAAAAAAGAAGGTTCTAACAAATCAATAACCTTTAATGTTATTAAAGATTTATTACACACTAGATTTGTTAGCTTTCTGAGAACATATAAAACATATGCATGGGAGCTCTGGTGGCCTAGTGTTCAGAAACTGTGCTGCAATCCCAAAGGCATGTGGTTCAAATCCTTTCGTTGCTCTGAAGGATAAGGATGGGCAGTTTCCTCCTGTGCGATTAACTGCCTCTCAAAACCTGCTGGAGGGTCAGCTTTCAGTTGATCCCGACTCAACAGTACAACAGCATCAACAATGGACATTTTACCAAAATACATATTCTAATAACAAGTTTCTTCAAAGTGATAGTTATAAGTTACTTCTCTTTTTTTTCATTGATTTTAATGAAAGTTTACAGAGACTTTGGATTTCCATTCATTCACGGTTGCACCATCATTTAAATGCATTAATTCCTCTTCGACCTTCCTCATTCACTGTCTAGCTTTCTCATGCATATCAAGTGATTGAAAGCAGCAACATTACCTCTAAGGAGCACCTGGTTACACTTCCTCCAAGGTCAATTAGTTTGGTTTTTGGCAGTCTACGGGTATTCAAATTAAAGAACTGATGCCTTTGAACTGTGGTGCTGGAAAAGAGTACTGAACATACCATGGACTGCCAAGAGAGCAAACAAGTCTGTGTGACAGATGGTGAAACCAGGTTACTCCTTGGAGGCAAAGATTTTTAAGCTCTGTCTCATATGCTCTGGGCATGGTGCCAGGCGGAACTAGTCCTTAGAGAAGGACATTAGGCTTGAAAGGGTAAAGGATCAGTGCAGGAAAGGAAAACCCCAGATGAGATGGGTAACAGTGACTGGCAATGAGAGCAGGTATGTCGGATATGGCTCAGGATAGGGCAAGGTTTAGGGATATTGTTCATAGGCTCGTTATGAGTTGTAGTCAAATGATAGCACATAAGAACAACAACAATGCTGCTGTTATATGCAGTCCAGTTGCTTGCAACTCATGGCGACCCTATGTTCAACAGCCCTGAAACCTGCTCTATCCTGTGCTAAAACTTTACTATCTCTGACACACATGCCTTCATTATCTCCGTCACTGTATCAATCCATCTCATAAATGGTCTCCCTCTCTCTCTCCATCCCTCTACCTTTCCAAGCATGATGTCTCTCTCCAAAGACCGGTCCCTCCTTGCAACATTCCCAATGTATGTCAGACGAAGCCTCAGAATCTTTGCCTCCAAGGAGCAGGCTGGCTTCACCCTCTCTGGGATGAACCTGTTTGTTCTCCTGGCAGTCCATGGTGTATCCAACACTCTTCTCCAGCACCACAGCTCAAAGGCATCAATTCTCTTTCTATCATCCCTAGTCTTTGTCTAGCTCTTTGACGCACAGCAAGCAACTGTGGAGAGTATGGCCTGGATCAGGCACACCTTAGTCTCCAGATTGACGTCATTGCTCTTCAGTACTCTGGAGAGGTCCCTTACAGCAGACTTTCCCAATGCAATTTATCTCTTGGTTTCTTGGCTGCTGGTACCGAGAAGGCTGATTGTGGAGCCAAGCAAACTGAAGCTGTTAACAATCTCAATTTCTTCACCATCAATCATGATGCCGTCAATCGGTCCAGTAGTGAGAATCTTTGCTTTCTTGATGTTATGCAATGACTCTTCACCAACACCACTACATAATGGCATCAATTCTTCTTCATTCTTCCTCATTCATAGACCAACTTTCAAAAGAATACCAAGCAACTGAAAAATACCTGCAGCACAGAAGCTACAGACCTGCTCTTGCTGAGAAAGTCTCTGAAAAGTAAGTTCTCTCAAAATACTCAAATGAATGCTTAAAATTTACCTTGGGCATTCTCTTCAAAGGGAGAGTAAAATTTGTTGTGGTTTTTAGCTGAAGGCCATTTGTCCCCCGGGGTTACTCAGCAATGTCTGGAGATGTTGCTGCCTGTCATAGGTGGGAAGGGAGGAGCACTGGCACTGACTGACAGCTAGGGGTAGAGGTCAAGGACATTGCTCAGTACCTTTAAATCACAAGACAGACCTAAAGGATGACAATCTGGCCCAGAACGCCTACTGGGCCGAGTGTAGAAGCAGCCCCAGAGAAGGGGTGAAATGTTGACATCCTATGTTGTACAGAGCCTCTAGGGGCTGATACTAGGCCCATACTAAGTACTTTTACCTTCCCAAGCTCAGTTCTTCAGTCAGCACTGACCCTGCAGGTGTGCTGTAAAACTCCAGATGAAAAGTCTATTCAAAGTCTTCAGTGACTGGCACATACTGAGAACTCAATGAATGGCAGCTAAGAACGTCTCGGATTTGGAGGATTGCTCAGGAACTATCAGAATGGAAGAACACCCCTACTCCAAGCTGTGAAGAGCACTGTGGCATGCACACCACACTCACCCCACGCTCACTTTCCTTTAACTCCCACAAGTATAACATACACACTCAGGAGCATTCTCTTATTCTCCCTCTGCTGAAAGGCCAAATTAAAAAAAAAGGAAAAAAAAACACCCAAAAAACTAGACAAATTCCCAGTTACTATCTGAACTAATAATGTTGTTAAGTGCCATTGAGTTCAGGTGACTCATAGCGACCCTATGAACAAAAGTCCTGGACACCTCCTGTATAACTTTCATCCTTTCTCCAGGTTCATGGGGTTTCCAGAGGCAAGCTATTGTGGAAATGGATGCCACTCCTGGCTTCCAAGGTCGTTTTAATCAGGGAGCTCCACCAAACACTGTCCACCATGGGTAACCATTCTCGCGTTTGACTCGTCAGTGACACAGTGTTCGGCTTCACAACAACCATGAGTTACGCTGTACAGCAAGTCAACAATATCAGGGTTACACGACCTAGATGATAATAATAATAATAATAATAATAATAATAATAATAATAATAATAGCTAATGACAGCTACCAGCAATTCAGTGTTTTAATGGTACTGTAACTAAACAATGTCTTTGTAGACAAGATTTCTATCCTTTTTGCTCTCATGCAACACTGTCATTATTACTGCCAGGTTCCAAGAGTTTAAGCCATTACCTTAAGGCCTACTAAGATCTCAAACTACAAAGACTGTTTTCAAACATCTGTTGTTTCAATTACAGATATAGTCAGGAGACTTAGTTTGAATGTATACACGCACTGTAAAATATAAATCTAGTAGTGTGTAAACAAATCTTGTTATGCACTACTTCATCAAAAGATTTACAACAAATGCAAATGTTTTGTACAAGCTGATTTGTTTCAACTATGAAAGTTGCTATTTCTTCTTAAATGTGTATATATGCATATAACCACTCAAGCATACTTCATGTTAGTTACATGTCGTTTTAAAAACTTGGGGAAAATTCCCTCGTCTTCATCCCACACAAAGTTCCATTACCAAGCTCTCAGCACATGACAGTATGCAGAGACTGACTGCATGAACTGTGACAAAATACAAAGGTAGCTGACTTGATCTGTCTTAGAACTCTAGCGATTTCTTAATAGCAAGCACTAGCAACAACTGATGCCAGTTCAAGTTCAGTAAAGATGAATTATTCAACTGCTCTGCTTATATTCCATTACGAATTAGTCAACTGGTCTGCTTATGTCCTATTACTGGCTTCTTATGAATACTTGATCTTATTTTGTATAACTGACAAGAGTTGACAGGAACAGATAGGTTTAATGACAATCAAATTAAGATCAAGTACTATGCATGACACCAGACAGGAGAGGAAGGAATAGATGGGCCTTACGGCCCACTCGAGGAACCTGCCACTGCGTAATAAGTGACCTGTACTATTAGTAAAGGTGACTGTGGCCATAGCTCCCAAATCCAATCACTCTCAAGGGGACAGGCTAGAATACATGTCCAACAGAAGAAAAACAGATCCTGATAGTGGATTCATTATACCAGACTGTTAGATCATTTGCCACCACAGTTCAGTTTTTAATCATTTACTTTTATGACATAAAGGCTCTGTATGAAATGTTCACAGTGAGCAGAAGATGAGTAGCAAACAGAGACATGTGGTGATGTCCAGCAGTGTCCCTGGTGGGCTCCTAACAAGTCAGAGAAGACGTCCACAGCACGTCCATGAGCCACCCACATGGTCAGACAAGTCACAGAAGATGTCCACAAGACAGCCAAATGGTCAGCACGTAGCAGACACATGTCGGATATTGGCATTTATAACAGATGAATGGAAATAGGTTCTCCAACATTCATTTTTCTTATTACTCGTAGAAGAATTGTGTTCATTCAGGAGATAGTTGAACTGAATTAAGAAACTGATGAAGTCATTGATTAATTGGAATTCAAGCCATCAGTCACTAGATCCATCAGCAGCTTCATTTACATTCTCAACAATCAGCTGATATCCACCTCATGGGACATTTGCAGAGACAGTCTAGTGAGGTTTCACAGAGGGGCCACCTGTACATGATCACCGAGCACACTGTGTGTCTTGAGCACCCTGTGTTGGCCAAGGTCAAGAGCGTTATTAGGACAGGCTTACGTCTAGCAAGGATTTTCTTACTACATATGTACACAGAATCATACTCAAAAAGTCCCTGGTTGATAGCGTAATTGTGATACAAACTTCACGCAGCTTGGGAATCTTTTCATCAAGAAAGTCAGTATTGTGACACAATGAAATGGCTCTGTCCTCTCTCCCTCCAAGCAGTCATCTGTCCCTGCCTGTCCCTGTCTCATACCCACTCCTATCGGGGTCTGCACCACGGCTGACTGTTCTTACAGCCTTCAAATAGCAAATGTCCCTTCATCCAAAGGAGCCCAAGAGGCATCCCTCTGCAAGCCAGATGATGTTTATCTGAGGTCAGCACGGTGGATGGATTCTCACTGGCCAGATGCTCTCCACATCACACTTGTGATGGCATCAGAGAAGGTTCCAATTACAAGTGGAAGCCCCCTCTAGCCTCCACTGTTGGGCTACCACTTCCAATACTGATGTTCTCACCACCCTCCTCTGAGAAGAGAACAAAGACCAATCAGCATCACATCGGTTAAGTCCACTCCATGGACAGCGCTGCCATCCCTGCCGAAGTCTTGTGAATGCACACTCGGCTTGGTCCAGTCTGATGCAGTGTCATCCCTGACTTATCTCTTCACTTTAGGCTCCCACACAGCCTGGGGCCTCCATGTTCTCTGTGCAGAGGCACGCTGCTCCCTGTGAAAATCAGGTCTTCTGTCTCACCATGCTCCCAGCACCCAGTCACTCAGGCACTGTCTCTAGAGTCTAGAGCCCAAATCCCTGGCCTAGACAGTACAGCCTCTGATGACTGAAGTGAAGCCAGGGTCAGACGACCAGATGTAGAGGCCGAGTGGAGGGAAATGGAGGCATTCCAGGCACACCAGATTCACCCGCCGCAGGTCAGCCAATTTCACTGACTCTCTGCAATCCAAGTTTCGGGGGCCCACTGGCCAGCCACCCTCAGGCATGGACATTCCAGAGGAGCCCCTGGACACTCTTAAAATGAGCCACTGCTGAGCCAGTGTCCAGTAACGAGAAGTAAGGCAGCTCTCCCAAGCCATCTTTCTGTGAGCAGTCAGCGCTGCTGTGACAGCTGTCTAACACTGACCACAGGGCCCCCCGTTCCCCCTTAGAAACACACCACATGGAGCCTTCAGCTCACCTGGGCAACACTGTCCCTTCCCACACTCAAAGAATCCTTTCACCTTGCCGCTGAGATTCTGCAGAGTCCACGTGTGCTTGTGTAGACATGAGTCCTCTCCACACAGCAGTAGGGAGTGTCCCCATGGGAGAGACAGACATGGTCCTTCTCTTCCTCCTCCACCACCACCACCACCACCACCACCATCACCACCAAGTTCATCAAAGCTCATCAAATAGGCAGGTTCCGCATGCTTTAAATATTTTAGTCTTCTTTCAAAATAGTATTGAAATGGGATTTTGAAATTCATGAATTCATTATAATACCATTCAAAGGAAAATTTTTATAAGCATAAAGTTTGGTTTTCTTCTTTCAAAATGAAAAGTAAACTGCCAAAATAACAACTTATCATCAACATTTTAGGATTTGCAACACAACATATGGCGGGGCTATGCCCCAGAACTCTGTCAACAACAACCTTGTTTAAAAACACAATACCTGCTTTTTCTGAAGTCCTAAGAAATACCATGTCTGATGGAATTCTTTGATTCTGCAAAAGACAGAAAATATATGTTAACAAAATTTCATTCCAAAGTAAAAAGAGCTCATAGCAACCAACTAAAGTAATACAGTAATTAAAATCTATGCTGAAGAATGGTCCATATGACCAAAGACAGCACAGGACAGGGCCAAGGTCAGAGCTGTTGTTCAGAGGGTCGTTATGAGTCCTAGCTGACTTGACAGCACCTAACATCATCAACAACTTTCAAATTCTTTAGCATGTATTATCTGTAAATCAAATATTACTATTTTCGTTTTTACTTGATAGCTGAGAGTCTCCCCACATAAACAGCATTTACTGATGACTTGAACATTGGTTCATTCTGAAAACTGCAGAAGCAGCCTTCCCATGCCTCTCTCGTGCTTGCTGGCACAGGTATGACACAGCAGGCACTGCCTCGTGAAAACCATGCTTTCCTTTTAAAGACTCTACTCCTGCAGAACATCCACTGCTTACCAACACAGAGGACATTGTAAACTCAGCCCCTGCCAGTGCTACATGAAGGAGGAAATGCACCAGTGAGCCGGCACAGACGTGAACCAACACACACACACACACACACACGCAAATGTATAAGACATATGTATACGCATGTACATGCTTAGATACTCATGCACACCACAGTACACTTCTGTGCATGTATACATACACATGTGTACGCACGGGCACATGCGTACATGGATATGCACACACCTATCCATGCATATGTGTGATGTACACACGTGCATACACACGTCAGCACGCGCGCACACACACATGAGGCGGCGCCCTCTCAGGCAGCATAACTGAGAGAGTCTTCATTGCTGACTATGCTGTCGACTAGGAGGGCATGTCCCTAGAGGACAGACTGGCAATTCCAGCCAACACTCCTTCACTCTGAGTTCATGACATGTGTACACATTTTTGAGATGCAAGTAAGGACTGACATACACTTGAAGACATGGATCACTTGTTGGTTGGTGGGCAATATACACTTGTATGGTTTTTACCATCGGCAAAGAAGATAGCTGGGTAGGTAGGAGAAAGCATTAACCTTCTACTCTAAAGTAAGAAGGCCCTTCCATGAGAGGAACAGAGACTTTCTGATGAGATGGGAGCACCACTTGTGTTATCAAGTGTGTGGCCAAGCCGCAGCCATGCAGCCCGACGGCGCAGGACCAACGTGCACATGCTGGCACAGCAGGCGGCAGGCCCAACCTCTGGCTGTGTCCGCGGGTGTACCTAACCTTGGCGTGGACTTCTGCAGATTTATTCTGCTGGGTTACTTCAGCTTCCTGTTACCTACAGGTTTCTGTATTTCGGAAAATCTCTGATTTCAGCACCACTTCTCCAACTCTTCCTTCAGCACTAGTCAGTCATTTTTGCTGAGAGGGGAACTGATGCAGGAGTGACATCTGAGCAGCAGCCCGTGGCATGGGCTTGATGTGGCCCCACTGTGTCAGTGTTCCAGCATGACTCTCACACACACGAGGCATGCACACAGGTGCAGAGGTGAAATCTGGAGCCTAGTACCCTGCTCCTCAACTGCTGTGAGGAACACTTTGGCCACCAGCCAACCACTGACCCCCACCGTGCCTGGTTGGCTCCATCTCAAAGACGAGGCTTGCTGGGCCCAACCCTCAGGCCTGCTGTGAACACATCTTTGGACTGTCCCCTTTATCAAAACTGTGCCTTCATCACCTGCAAATTGGGCAGGGGCAGGTCCTGTCCTCTGAGAACATGCTTTGATGAAGAACTCCCATTTGGAACAGCTGAGACCACCTATCAGCCCAGCGCAGTCCTCCTCCAGCCTCCAGGGAAAGACATGACAGGAGACGGCAGTGAGACGGCAGTCGTGTGCACCTCACGCAGGTTCGAGGGCAAGTTCTCCAATGCTGCCAGGAGCATGACCCTAAAGACTGTCACACATGCTCCTGTGGTGTGTGTGGTCTGGAAATGCGTTGAACAATTTACGCTTTCACAGGGAGCGAGCCAAAAGCCAACTAAGTGCCCAGCGCCTCCTCAGAGGGAGATGCTCTGCAAAGGGGCGTCCTTTCCCCCGAGGAGCACTTCCTGCCATCCCCATGTCCTACACCTCTGGATGACTGTGCTGGGTCGCTGCTGAGCACGCTTGTGAGCCAGAGGTCACAGAAAGACCTGTCACCCTGTTAACTGCGGGACCCAGAGGAAGCTGCCGCTCTCTGTGGCTTCAGATTCTCCAGTCACTTCAAACTCCAGGTCCTGTCAGAAGGACTTTGGGGCCAAGAGTGGGCTGCTGTCTGCTCTTAAAGGGAAATAGGACAGAGTGGCACAGGGTGGCTAATACATATTTCATTCTCCTTCTAGGAGATCAACTATATCAATCATGTTGAACATGTTTACTTTTTGTTGAGAATTCTGGCAACATTTACATGAGGAAGAAATGTCGTTATTCCTCCTTCGTTTAGGAGATAGTATTTGTAGTTAGAAATTCATGTAGAGAGAGTGCATAGAACCTTTCAATTTAGTTGATTTCTCTTCATGCACTAGCTTTTTCTCATGTGATTTAAAAAGTTTCAATGCCACTGCCTGAGGCTGCTGTAAAGACAGAGGAATGTGTCCTGCAGTAAAGTGTCAGGAATGGTGACAGAAACACCAGGATGGAGAGCAATTGCTGACACTGTAACCAGCTGTCCATAAAGATGCCATGAGGACTGGTCCCCACAGGAAACACTGCAGGACCTTCCTGCCTAAATGCAAAATCAGGCATGAGTGCTGCCTGCTTAGAAACGGACTCAGAAGAAGAAAACGCCAGGAGCCAGGCTAAGGGACCTGGGCAGAACCATGTTTACAAAGGGCACTGTCCACGAGACCACAGAGGACAGACACAGAGTGCTCCCTGTGGGGTCCTCAGTCCCTCACACCCCTGTTTGGTTCACATTCTCAGTTAAAGCTGGGCTTTTCTCCTGGTGTGCTCTTTTTACCTGGAATCACCTTAGAAGAACCAGGTAAGGAAAAAGTCCTTTCCCCCTTGCTGCACAAAAAAGCAGGTCCTGGCCTCGAGGCTACTTCTGAGGAGGGGTCAGCACACCAGGAGCACTGAGGCCAGAGTCAATAACATCTGCAACAGTGAAGACCCCACAGACGCAGAGCAGCCAGGCCCCTCTGTTTCATGCACTGAAATCACTGGAACTTCAGAGCGTGAAGCTTGTGCAGTGAAACCTTAACATCTAAGAGGCTCTATTTAATTGGCATGCTTGTCTGAAAGCTTAAATACCCATAAGGGTTTTTTTTTAAGCCATAAGACGACGTTTGGAATAATTTTCTTCTCCCTATAAGTACAAAGGTATAATACAACGTTTGACTCCAAATGGATTTCAAGTAAAATCCCTGTGCACATCAAAAACTTTTTCCAACAGAGTGAAAAGAAAACCTACTTACTAGGGAAAAACATTTGGCAATACCATCTCAGATAAGCGCCTCATATAAAAATTTACAGAATCCTACAGGGACTCCACAAGAAAAAAGACTGATAACACAATTACAAAATGGGCAAAAGACATGGAAAGACTTTTCAGAGAGGAAGATATTCAGATGGCCAATGGACACACAAAAAATGCTGAAAATCACTGGCAATAAGAGAGATGGAGAGCACTGTATAAAATGAACAAATCATTAGGTATTACTGGCATGACAGAAGTCCAGAAAAAGAGCTGCAAAGTGTATGTGTGTGTGTGTGTGTGTGGGGTTGCGGGGGCGGGGGGTAATGACGACTGTATAACTATGAAAAAACTTTTTTTCCAAAGAAGAAAATGAATTGGGGCGGAGGGGGTGCAGAGAGGAAAATGTGCAACAATGAATGAATGGAAATCCAAGTTCTTTATAAATTTTCATTAAAATCTCAATGGCTACCATCTAACCCCAGTAGCCATGGTAAAGTTTAACAGGATAGCATGTAATAAATGTTGGAGAGGATATGGTGAGATAGAAACTCTTATACATTGTTGGTGGGGTTGTACAATAGTTCAACCACTCTGAAAGGCAGTCTGTATTTCCTCAAGAAGCCGAACACAGAAATTCCATATGATTCAGCTATTTCATTGTTTGGAATATACCCTGAGAAAATGAGAACTGAGGCATACATGGAGATTTGTACACCAGTGTTCATAGCAGCATTCTTCACCCTCACAAGAACTTGGAAACAGTCCAAATGTCCAACCACAATCAAATGGATTGAGAAATTATGTTACATTCACACAACGGAATACTACGCAGCACGCAGGAGCAATGATTTTTGTAAATCACTACCTAACTTGGGAAAGACTAGAGAGCATTATGTTACGTGAACTAAATCAGTCCCATAAGGACAAATAAAACCATTATTGTAGAAACAGAGAACTAGTAAAACATGTATTAGGATCTAACTGGGGGACCAAGGGGGTGAGGATGGGGGGTTGGTAATCATAAGGTCATACAATTTGATGCATGGAGGGAGGAGAGAGTTAAGGAAATGGGAAAGATCTGGTGTGGAAAAACTATATGAACCTTGTTAAGTAATAAGTAAACCAGTGTGTGTGTGTTGTGTATGTGTGTTGTGTGTGTGTGATATATGTATACATGTGTGTGTTTATATATATTTCTATGTATATATCTCTCATTAGCATGATCAAGTGTTCTGGGATTCTGATTCTTCTCAGAGTCAGCCATAGTTTGTTATGATCCACACAGTCAAAACGCCTTTGCATAGTCAATGAAACACAGATATACATTCCTCTGGTTTTCCCTGCTTTCAGCTAAGATCCAGGTAGTCGTCAGAACAGAGCAAGGAAACACTGCATGGTTCAAAATTGAGAAGGGTGTACGCCAGGGATGTGCCCTGTCTCCATACCTTTTCAACCTGTATGCACAACAGATTATCTGGGAGGCTGGGCTCTATGAGGAGAAATGTGGGGTCAAGATTAGTGAAAGCTCTATTAACAATCTGTATTATGCAGATGTTACAACCCTGCTTGCTGAAACTGAGGAGGACT